TTGTCACTGCCACATCAGATAGCTAGCTGGTCACCATGCTTCTGTAGTTCTATACTAAATCAATGGGAAGGAGACAGAAGACCAAAGTAATTTCAACTTCTGAATGCAGAGAGATCAAAAGGGAAAAATACCTAATATATTTTCTTTATTTAAATTATTTTAATTTAATCTGGGTTCACAAGTTCTTTGCTCAGCAATGGGTATCTGTTGTATCATGTTACAAGATTACAATTGCAGGGATGTATTCTATTTATATTTTTGGGAACTTTTATGCATTTCTGCACCTTAAAGATGATCTCAGCTCTTATTTTCAAGAGTTGTTAATGGATGGTTCAGGAAAACTGCCAGCATAACATTTTTCGTCCCTAAGTAAGGGATGCAACTCAGTCGTCATTCCTATTTGCTATTGGATTGGATTATGACTTTTTTTTCTTAGACCTTTTCAGAATTTGGACACACAAGGCAAATATTGCGAAGGCTTGCAGCGTGCATGTAGGAAATTCTCTACAGGCATTTATTTTTAATCATAAAACACATAGGAGCAACAAGGATAGGGGCTGATGTTGCATAGTACGAATGAGGAGGCAGGTGCCACACCTTGTGGACAACATATTAAATTTTACTAAGTTCAGCAAGAATCTCTGCACAGATAACAAATTTGGAAAGACAGGTCCCCAGCTGTCACTGCATTGAGATGCATAACAGCATCTAGTGGGTCTGGATCAGTTTATTCCACCAGTCTCACTTTGTAGGGTACAATACTTCACCCTAGATACCCTTCTGAAGTAAAGTTTTCCTCAAACAAGCAATGTGGAATATTCTGAAATACTATTTCAAAATAAATCAGAATGAAATAAAATTCTCCATCTTTACTATATGTGCCTGTATATATAGATATGTATGTGTATATGTATATTTGTGTGTATATAATGTATTTGCATACACAAATAGGCAAAAGTAAATCAATTGCATCATCACATAATTTTTGCCTTTTAAAGTTGTCTGTGTTCTAAGAATTATGTAATGAGACATGCATAAGCACTTACTGTTGTTATTACCATGAGGCAATAGCAAATTTTGGACTTGAAATTTTTTCTCTATCTAGAAAGATTTCATTCCAGAGGTAGTTTAGTCAATATAAATAGGGTATTTAAAACTTCATTTGATTCCCAGAACAGAGAAGTTATGAATTTCAGCACTGTTGAGCATAAGTCCTGGACATTGCAAAATGGATTTCAGATATATTAGATAATAAAGCTTTAGAATTCATTGAAACTAGTGCATTTGGTCTTTGTACAAGGTGTTTATGCAAGTTCAGGTTGGAAAATCATTAGAATTTCTCTGCAAAAATATTTTTATTTCTTTGCCTCTGTAATACTATTTTCCCCAGCCTGTTCCTATCTCCATTATAGTGCACATTGAAATAAGTATGGAACATTCATTAAATCTGTTACATGATTTCTAAAGATTTTTGAAATAAATGGCCTTGAGAAATAAAATTTAAATATTTCTAAATCAGGTCAATAATGTTTCTAGACTGGTTTTTGAACTTAAAACCATATTGCTGGTTCTCTTTTAATGATTCTTTCATAAATTGATTTTTTGCTTCTTTGTAATGCACGGTCCTATCTGCTTCTGTAGTTTCAGATTTGGTATTTAAGATTGCTCAACTCAGGCTCTGCAATTTTCTCCTTTTTCTTTAAGGTGGCTTTCCAAATGTTTGATTAAAAAAAGGAATCAAAGTGATAAGCATAAATCAATGAAGAGTTATGAACAGAGCACCACCCTTTTTATTAAGAATAAGTATTTCTGTTTTAATAAAGCTGAACAGTCTGCCGTATTATCACTAGTGGTAAACCTGTTTCTGGTGGTCTCTAAATTGGTGTGAGTAGTGTGCCAAGTGCTGAAAGAATAGATGTAGTGACATGGTTTCTCTACAGGATTTTTTCAGAGGTAGTTTAACCATGCAAGCAGTCCATAAAAGAGCCATTCCTGAAATGTAAGCTGCCTGCACTGTTAGGTGCAGACACTGTAGAAAGCAATATGAAGAAACACTGTGTTTAAATGGTTTTACGTGTGTTATTGAAGCTAAGATCAGATGATAGAGAGGAACAATTTTAGATGGATTGTAAAAAACACTGATCCATTTTTTTTCTGATTTTTTTTGTATTCCAGTTGTATAAAAATCTCCTTTAATTGAATCACAGATTTTCTCCTAACTCTGAAACCTATTCTTCCTAAAAATGACATGTAAACTTCAATCCAGGAATCATTTATCAAACCATGAATTTTTCATGAGTCAGTAATATGTGATTTCAATAAAAATAGACCTAAAGTTTGAGCAGATAACCACAGAAGAAGTGATGGCTGTTTCAATACAGTTTGTACAGAAGCATGCTCCATCAGCTTTCTTACCTGAGGATAAGAAACCCCAAAGCTTACATGAGTACGATACCAGGCATATTACCCTTGCATCCAAGTCCTGCTATTTAACTGATGGAAAGTTAATTTTATTGATATTGTATGCTTTAAGAAAAAAATAAAAAATCCATCTTCAAGACTCAGTAGTTTTCCTTACCCCCAGAAAACGAAGTCTAAGGAGGGCACACTCGAATGTGGCATCCATCTCTTTCTATGGAGGATGAACATCTGTGCAGGTGATCTTCAAGGCTCTGCTCCTGCAATCCTTAGTGGGCTTTCAAAGCTGCTCCAGCCACACACAGAGAGCCCTTCCTCCTGCTGTGGCAGTCTGCAATCACCTGCTGCCCTCTAATATACTCTTTTCCCTCGTTAAGAGCTGCTGTACATGTCAGGGGAGTTTCTGCATTCCTAAGGCATAAGATGCATCGCTATGCTTCCTCTTTGAGCATGATACTTAATTTGTCAAATGTAGTTATTTAGGCTGAGTTTACCAGTGTGATGTATTCCTTCTCCTGAGATCCCAAGATAATGTCTTTGCAGGGTATTTTGGCCTGCTGAATAAGTTTCACACATTCCCATAGTTATTTTCTTCTTGTGTGTTGTTTAAAAATTATGAAATAATTAATATTTAAATAAAAACATATTTAAATAATATCAAAATATTAGCATAAAATAAGAAAGACAGGATACTGCTACAATATAGATTACCCTTGTTAACCAAATTTGCATGACAATTACTTTATTTTTCCATTATGAAGTGGTTTCACATAAATACTGTTTCAGCCAGCATGAGAGATTTCACTATGTTAGGAGGTCAGAGTCAAATATTGTTGAGTGGATTTTAAAGGGGCTGCATCATTTGGTGAACAATAACAATTTTGGTTATTCATGCTGAGAGCAAAGTAATTAAATCCCCTGCTGGAGGGCAAAGGCCTGCAGCCTGTGCTCTGCTGCATCCAGTGGGGGTTGAAGAGAGCATGATTGGTGATACGAGAGACACAAGTCCCTGTTTAGAAGAGGCATAGGTTAATGTTTCTAAAAACCACACAAATAAACACTCAACAAGAGCAAACCCACAAAAATAAAACTAAACTTGTGTAGCATTTAAAATGTATTATTAGTTATATTGAGGTGAAAGTTTCTTCCTTTTAAATAACAGGTCCTTGCCATTATTAGAGGAAAATTTACCTCTACTGATGGATTGGATATGTGTCACTCTGCCAGTTTTATACTCCTACAGTTTACGGCCACTATTGAAATAGCACGTTGAAAATTTCCATAGTGATTTGCAAATGTTAAGAAATTAATTTTCTTGACAACTCAGTGGGATATGTGCAGTCGTTATTTATAAAGAGGAAGATTCAGAGCAGTCTTCCCCCTCAAAATGGAGGAAGAAAGAGCATCTGATTCCAGATTTAAGACTTGTGCTAAATAGCCAGAACTGGTCTAAGCTGCACTAATAAAATTCACCAAAACCTGGGCAGAATGGTTGCTATGAAAACTTCACATGCAGGTTAGTCCATGTGCGCTGATTAAAATTAGATGTCTTTATGTTCCCCAAACAGCTGGTTTTCCTGAAATTTAAATTTCAGGGCTCTGAAATTGTATGTGGATAGATGAGTACTGTTGATTTAACAAAAATGCAAGGAGTATTTCCAGAAGATGGAAGCATTTTATTTTGACACCTGCAGACTAAGATACTGCATTTTGAAAATAATAGAGCTTTTAATGTATTGTTTTGAAATTACACTTTAGGTCATCTTATTTTAAGACTGCATTTACCATTTCTTAAAAATCGCATACTAAAACATTAAAAAGTTCTATAACCTAAATACTTAAGCAGTGGGTTTTTTGGTGGTTTTTTTTTTTTTTTTTTTTTTTTTTTCAGATTAAGTAGTGCACTGCAAGCCAGCACAAAATCAGATTCTCCAGACTGTTAATTTATTCCCAAAAGGGATATTTCCTAGTATGTCCTAGTCACCAGACTGAGGAGTCTCATCCATCACACTCCGGTGCTAGGACATGCCATGCTAGAAGCCCCTTGAAAAGCAGGCAGACCTTTGTTTCCAGGTTATTTATTTCATCTAAATAAAGTGCTTTGTATGGGCTGAGGAGAGGGAAAATACGGGCTGCACTTCGCAGACCTGCCTTCTGCTAACCATGCCGTTTGCAGTTTGGAGCGTGCGTCTCACACCGTTAGTCAGCTTTCTGAAGGAAACCCGAAGAATCCCACATAAGATCAACCTTCATGAATAAATTATACAGTAGAAGTAGCATATGGATTTTCAGTATGCTAGCCAGCTCTTCGGCAAATGTTTAAGAGAATACTGTAGCCCACATGGAAAGTGTAATGATGGTGGCTCCCTGTTAAAGGGAGTGGAATTATGCTGCAGTGCAGTTATCACATACTAGTATGGGATAAAAATAAATACTCTGGCTATCCCATGGTTACATGTTCACCCTATTGCCAGTAAATGCTACTGTGTTTCTCTCTCTTTAATCTGGAAATGTATACAAAGCTACTACTTTGTTGTCACTTTAAATATTCAGGACCACCCCATTCTTGCTTCCCTTTTCAGAGCATGACGAATGTGTAACAAACCAGCACAACTGTGATGAGAATGCGCTCTGTTTCAACACCGTGGGCGGGCACAACTGCGTCTGCAAGCCGGGTTACACGGGAAATGGTACCATCTGCAAAGGTAAGCTGCTGGAAACCTGCTCCGTCATTGTTGATGCAATTCTGGTCGTTTGCCTTGAATAAGGCAGACAAAATGCCAGGCTAGGCACTTGGGTCCTTCACCCGTATGATCTTCACAGGCATATATATACACTGACTTTGCTTTTGGCAGTTTGCAGTCATTTGAAGATGACGCGTATATAGATAGTAGGCTCTAAAATTTGAAGTAGTTATGTTTCATTTTTTGTGTCAGCAGTTTCTACATATGGTACACCATTCAAGGAAGCCTACAGTTACGTCTCAAGAAACTTACGTCTGTGAGAACATTTTCAGGTTTACATTGTCTGTGGTCAATGACTTGCTGTTTTACTTGGATGAACTAAAAATTGTTTGGTATGTCTTTTTAACCTAAGTGAGAAAAGCAGTAGACATAGGCATACAAAACTTTCACTAGAAATGAGGCAGTGTTTTCTAGCATGTTTTCTAACATTCTGATGCACTGCTAAATATTAGAACTTAAATTTCTAGTCTTAAAAAGATGCTTTCCTAGAGGTTCAGTGCTGCTTTTATTCCTGTTGCATTTCACATCAGAAGAAATTATACTTGGTAGCTGGCCCCAAATCCTTGGAATTTCTCAAGTTCTGACCACAGGATGTAGCGAGTGCTTGAAAATAAAAGTACTGTAGCTGTAGGGGAATGAGCTCAGATGTGAGAAGTGGGACAGATGCAGCAATATCATACCCAGTGTTTGCTGAGGTTGGGTCTTGGTGCTCTTGATTTCTTAGATGTCAGAATCTAAAGGTCCAGAGCTAGCATTGGTAATGTCACATAGATACCTTCTGCTGCTGTCTATTGCCAAATCTAAGGAACCCAGAACTTCTGTAATTGATAAGTCTGATTAAGGTCTTAGCACTAGTTGTTCCATCACCTGATTAACAGTACAATTTTTCTATATATACCAAAGACAAGCTCTTTGTAAAACATGTCAGCCTGGTTCACTTCCAGTCAAACATGTGGGTAGAGGGAGATGTGTCAGCAAATATGTCCTTTTGTGCTGGGCTCTCTGGGGAATAAGAAGAAAGTCTTACCTGATAAGGTATAAACCCAAAGAACACAGCTGTTTCAGAAGAACACAGCTCTCTCCTGCCCTGTGCTTGGTAGAGTCCCAAATTCTTCTGCTGGAGAGGAGTCAGCTACTAAAAGTTTCTTTGGGTCAAAGAAAAGGTGCATAACCCTGTAGCACTGTGTTCAGCTCTTCTGAGTAAGAGCTCTGACTGCAGATCTGACAATCCAGAGGACACCTGACCCCACTGTGAAAGAAAAGTATATCCCTGCCCTCCCTCCTCAATATCAATAGCTGCCCCCATGTCTCTGGCAGCTTTTCATGCACTGCGCTACCAGCTGCAGTCCTGTGCACCATGCACTCCTGGATGGGGAAGCATAGATGTCTCAATGACAATGGTCCCATGCCACAGGGCTGCTGTCTCAAAACTGAGAGCAGGATAGCTCAGATCTGTAAGTTTTCTCTCAGGCGAGCATAAGACCTCATCAGTGGTGCTGTTACACAGAGCAGCTGCAAACCAAAGCCTGGCACCTCTGGCTGGTTACAAGTGCAGGGCTAGACCAGTGCCCCAAAGCAGCTCTTTGTCTTGGTTATAATTTCCAGATGCCTAGTTTCACCTGCAGTTTCTTCTGGCCAGAGCATTTCCAATTCCATATTGCAGATGCAATCAGAACAACTAACAGCTACTATGTTTTCAAGCAGAGCTGGTTGCATTTCTGGGTCCACAGGAGTGGCTCTTGAAAACATGCCAAAGAACAAACCCAAGGATTGACTTTAAGCTGTAAATGCTAAAAGTTTTGAAGTTCTTCAGAATCCCTTCAGACAAAATTAGTATATGTATTGTTTCTATTAAATTACTTAACAAAGAACTGAGGTAGCCAGACAGTTTAATATTCAGTTGTGCCTGTTATATTCAGGCCTTTTTTTGGGCAGCAGAACAGACCAGCGCTGCCCTAGGAGGAGTCTGTTCCAAGGGAAGATGTTGTCTTTCGTTGCTTCCCAGTGCATGTGAAGGAGCACATATGGGAGCTGTTGTCTTCAGATGATTTACTCTAATCTCCTTCTGTAGCTTGTCAGCCCATCTGGCCAGGGAGGCAGGGGGGCCATAAACCATCTCTTTGTGACCTCTATCCTTAGGAGAAGGCAGTCTCTGCACTCTGTGCCGCACGGGCAGCGTTCTGTGCCAGCCTGCTGGCAGACTGTGTCCACCTGCAGGGTTGCTGAGTGTGATTCTCTTACCCTTACATTGTGATTTTGCATTTTGCAGCATTTTGCAAAGATGGGTGTAGGAACGGAGGAGCCTGTATTGCTTCCAATGTGTGTGCCTGCCCACAAGGCTTCACTGGGCCCAGCTGTGAAACTGGTAAGATTATAACTTAATTTACAATGAAGATAATCCAAGGAGGATGTTTGAAGTAATCCAAGAATAAAGGAGAATTTAAGGTTATGCCCTAAAAGAGGAAGCTGCTACTAAAATGTTACTCACTGTTCTTGTATGCTTCCCAAGAGGATATATTACAGCAATTCTAATTAGAAGCACATGGACTGTAAAAATTAGCACATGAATTAAGACATCTTGGGTTTTGATGTTTCATAATTAATAAGATTATTATGGACTTGCTTTTCACCTCAAATGGCCTTTGGTGTCTCATATAAATAACAGATAATCTGACATCTGGAAATAAAGTTGAGTAACTGATTACTTTTGTGCTGTATATGTGTTCCTGGTTCAGTAACTCACCTTCATTTGCACTCTTATTTGAAGACTTGTGATTAACCCAGCTTACTTTACTCGGTGTTAAGGCAGGTTTCAGTGTTTCTACTGCTTTTAGCTTCTTTCACAAGCATTCCTTTATTTTTCCCCTGCTACTCCTGAGGCTGGCAGTACCACAAGGCTTTGTTTTTGAACTTTATTTTTTAAGTCTTGGATATAATCAAGTTATATTGCCCAGCAGAGTATGTAGAATGTTAATTTGTAGCATCTCAAGTGCCTGTAAATAATTTTTCAAAGTTCAAATTAATAGCTTCAGCACCTTTATTGCTGTAGAATTTTTAAATGCATTCTAAGCATACTTGCCTCCAGGAAGTAAAGGGAGAAAGCTTTCTTAGATTAATTGGCTTCAGTATGCCTAATAAAAGGGCAGTCTGCCACCTATGATTGACTATTGTTGCTGTTCTATATTGCCTTCAATAAATCTTCCAAACAGTAGAAAGGAGGTCATTTGAGCAAGTATTGCTTTCATCTGACTTGTAAACCTATCTTGTTTAATGAAAAACACAGACCAGTCTGAATTCTGTATTATCTGGTCTATTTGAGAGGTGAAAAATGTGGTTGTTTTCATTCTTCTGTATTTGATCAGATATTCCCACAGAGCACACAAGGGCTGCTGTGTGAAAAGCAGTATCCTAATTGCTCATCTTTTTCTAAAACAATGTTAAAAGAGCAAGTTTTCAAGTATTGCTCACTATTTCACAGACTGTACATACCATAGTACAGGGTACCAAGGTCGCTCCATTGTAACACTGCTTGGAACAAATTGTATGCTAAGATATTGCTCAAGTATTAAAAGAGTTAATTTGTTTTAGTGATAGCTGTTTTATGTGCTCCTTAAACTGCAGTCCTGTTCTCAACTAAATATAACATGTATGGTTTCAAAGTGCATAATCATCTTTTGCAGCTTTGTACTCCTATCTGAAGTGTGCAGACTAGAAGCATATTCTCTTTAGTCTCCTTCTATAGTCAATATTAATAGCCACTATTGAAGAGAGATTTTACTGGCTTTTTAGAATTGACCCTGGAAGTCCTGTCTGTAATCCCTTCTTTATAGGACAATCCAGGGACACTCAGTCCCCAGTCCAGTAAATTCAAGTACCTTAAACTAACTGAAGTTAGATTAACTGCAATCAGCTCCAAATGTCTTTCAAAAGAATCTGAACTGCTGGCCTAACTTCCATCCTTCCTGCACTTCAGGAAACACACACGGAGGCAGACAGAGGCTTGGAGCACATCTTGTGCCTTTCTGAATACCTGATCTCAAGTTAGTATGGTGGTGACCGATATCACATAGCTAGTGATAATGTTGCTATGATGTGGAGCTAATTTGCCAGCCCCAAACCAATTTCATAGCTCAGTTTTCTGAGGAGAAGACCCTCTCTCCTTGTTTCCCTCTCTCTTTCATTTCTGTTGAAAATGGTATTTTTTTCCTGCTGTAGAAATAAATAATGCTAGAGGTCAGCCACAGGAGCACAGGTCTGGTCACCTTATGTGGAGACAATATGCAGAGTAGGATTGTCATCTACTTCTGCATGGCTTTGAAACATGCAGTCTGAAATACAGCGAGAGTGGCAAATGGGAGAAGTATCTGGCGGGTAAAGAGTAAAAGCTGATTTTTTTTTTGAGACTGCACTGTAAGAAAGAGGGTCCTGTATATACCCTTAAAAGAAAACTGGAGCTTCAAAGAGTATACATTCACTTATAGTGAATGTAGCAGAGTTTGCTGAAGGTGCTTCTTCTCGTTAGGCTTGAAATGTTTCAGGATGTTCGTACTACAAATAATTTATGCTGGAAACTTCCCTTTGAACAGTCTCTGTATCTACAAAGGTGATGCAATCTTCTCTAGGCAGATGTCTTCCATTGCAATCGCATACAGAGAAGGGGGAGGATTCAGGTAAAGGTGCCAAATCTGTTTTAAAATTGCACATCACTTATTTCTGTTTATGCTACACATGTTTTAAAATTGCTTATTGAAGAATCTTGGGATTTTAAACTTAAAATATTCAGTTATGTAGACATTGTCAGCAGCTGCTGAACCTATGAATTAATTAGCAGGAAATTGAATCCACACCCCAACAATAACCTAGAAAATGCAATCATCAGTTCTTACTGTTTCCTTCTGTAAAATGTGGTTTAAGAGTTCTGTTTAAATCATTTCTCAGAATCATAGAAAAGAAAGGATGACGTTGGAAGGGACCTCTGGAGATCATCTTGTCTCACCCCCCCTGCTCAGAGCAGGGTCAAATACGGCTGGCTTCTACAGCTAGCATTCAGGACTGTGCCCTGTTGGATTTGGAGTGTTTTTAGGGTTGGAGACTCCACAAGTTCTCTGGGCAACCAATGCCAGTGTTCAATCACCCCCAGAGTACAAAAAAAATCATTATGTTCACATAAAATTTGCCATGTCCCTAGTCCCTTTTCTGGACATGTCTGAAAGTTTCTAGCTTCTTTCAACATTGTTATGTATTTATACACGGTTATAAGTTTCCTCTCAGCCTTTTCATTTTCAGGCTGAACATCTGAGCTCTATTAGCCTCTCCTGGTATGACAGATGCTCTAATCCATTAATCATCTTCACTGCACTTCACTGGATTTGCTTCATGTCTTTCCTGTACTAGGGAAAACAGTGCAAGATCCAGCACTCCGAAGAGAATCCTAGCACCATGAAATAGGGGGGCACGATCATGTCCCGTGACCTGCTGGCAATATTCTTCCTAATGCAGCTCTGGAGGCTGCTGGCCACCTTTGCTGCAAGTGCACAATGCTGCCTCATGTTCAGCTCCTGTCCACCTGCTCCTCCAGATTGGTTTCTATCAAGTAGCTTTTCCACTGCCCTTCTGGTGCCTGAGGTTGTTTCTTAATAGTTGTGGGACTTTGCATTTCCCTCTGAACTTGAAGATATTCCCAGTGGCCAGTTTCTTCTGCCTGCTGAGGTCCCTCTGAATGTCACTAAAACTATCTGGTGCAGCAACTTCTCCAAATTTCCTATAATCTGAAAATGTGCTGAGGGTGCTCTCTGCCTTATTGTGCAGATGGCCCAGCAGTCCTGGCCCAGCACCTGGTGTTTACCTAGGTGTATGTTGATAAGTGACTAATCTCCAAATGGATGTTATACAGCTGATCAGAGCTCTCTGATGCTGGGCACTCTGCAGGTTTTCTGTCTAACTCGCTGTCCATTTATTTAGCCTGCACTTTTTATCTTGTCTCAGGATGTTACGTGAGTATCAAAAATTTTACTAAGATAACCAACATCTACTGCTCTTCTCCCTTTCACCAAACCTAGTCATCTTACTTTAGAAGGCTCTCAGGTTGGTCAGGCATGATTTCCTCTTCATAAATCAGTGTTGACTGTTCCAAATTACTTTCTTGTCCTTAATCTGTTTAGAGGATACCATAATCTTCCCAGGGGTGGAGGTAAGGCTGACTAATCTGTAGTTCCCTGGATCCTTACCTGTTCAAAGATAGGAAGGACATTTGCTTTCTTCCATTTCTGAGGACCTTCTTTCAGTCACCCTGACCTTTCAAAGACAATTCAGGTTGGCCTCAAGTGTGACATGATCCAGCTTCCTCAGCACTTCTGGGTGCATCCAATCAGGTTTGATTGACCTGTGGTTTTTTTTCCATTTTATTTAGATATTGATCCTTCTCCACCATGGGTAGATTTTTCTTGCTTCAGACAGAATTTTCCGCTGGTCTTGGTGACCTGGGACACCTGAAGGCAAATCTTACCTAAAAAGACCAAAGTAAAGAAGGCATTGAGCACCTCGCTGTTTAGAATTTCCTTTCCAAAACCCACCCTTGCATACTCAATCAGTATTTATATCTCTCCCAAAACCTGAGGGGGATGATGCTGTCCATGCTTAGGTCCTGTCTGTGCAGCCTAAACTCAGTGCAGCTTTTCCAAAGAGAAGTCCTGTGTAAGTAAAAATGGTTTCATAATTTTTTTTCTTTCCAAAATGGTGCTTCTGGGGCATCAGTAGGAGCCTCATTTCTGTTGGAAACATATGAAGGGGAATCACCTGTTAGTGCTGGTTGGCTGTTTCAGTGTGCTGTATTCCCTGTGGACTGTCTTGCAGTTAACAGAGCACAGAGCTGTTACAACACCTTTGCATGATCTGTTAGGAGCCTTTTAGATTAATCATGACCTGTGCCATATGGAGATGGACCAGTGGAATGAGGCAGAATATGGAAGAATCATATACAGATATATCAGCCTTTTTTAAAAAATGGTATTAAGCCATAAAAAATTAGGCTAAAAGTCATCAAGTCACAAAAATGAGTGGGAGAATTTCTCTGTCTCCTCCGAAAGGATACAGATTGAGACATTATTAATGTTGGGGATACATTCATTGGCTTGGGGAAGTGGGGTTTATCTATTAAAATAATTTAAAGTTTTATAAGGCACACCAGCAGTTTATCAAGTAGAGCAGCTTTCTGCAGCTTAGAGATGAGACTACCAAGTAAATCTAAATACATTTGTGCCTGGTAAACTTTTTCAAAATACATGAATTAATGCTATCTTCTTTGATTGCAAAATTATGAATTGTTCAATTGGCATTTTTAAGTGCTTGCTTAAACTGTATTTGAAG